CACTGAGTTGACTCTGACTCATGGCGACCCCACGTGTGTCAAAGTAGAACTGTGCTCCGTAGGGTTTTCAAAGGTGGATTTTTTGGAAGTAGATCACCAGGTATTTCTTCAAGGGTGCCTCTGAGTGGACTCCAACTTTGAATCTTCAGTTAGCAACCGAGTGTGTTGATCTTCTGCAGCACCCAGGGTCTCCAGGGATTGCATTACAACTGCAACATTAATAGCTGACCGTGATGGTTAAAGTTGAGTGTCAAACTGGTTGGCCATTATTCTCGTGGTTTGGCAGTTATGTGATGCTGCAGTTATCCTCCATTTTGTGATATAACGTAATCGCCTCCGTGATGTGATCTGATGTGATCAGCCAATCAGTTGTAAGGGAAGTTTCCTCGGGGGTGTGGCCTGCATCCAATATAAAAGAATGTTCTGGCAAAGCTCGCTGGCTTTTGCTCGCTCTGGATCCTGCATGGGGCTTGTCATCATCTGACCTTCGGTTCTTGGGACTTGAGCCAGCGGACTGCCATATTGCCTGCCGATCTTGGGATTCGTCAGCCTCCACAGCCTGTGAGCTAGCAGTCTGCTGTCTGACTTGCTGATCTTGGGTTCATCAGCCCCTGTAGCTACATGAGTCAGAAGAAGCCTCCAGCCTGATGCCTGACCCACAGACTTGAGTCTTGCCAGCCTCTACAACCGCGTGAGCTACTTCCTTGAGATAAATCTCTCTCTCTCTCTCTCTCTCTCTATATATATATATATATATATAAGCTTCACTGGTTTTGTTTCTCTAGAGAACCCAGCCTAAGACATTAATACTTAATATGCTTCTGCTATTTGCCATGCAAACAGCTTTACATGATCATTTCACATAAACTTCACAAGAACCCAATGAGATAAGCCCCAACACAATTCCCATTTTACAGATGAGGAAACCATGGCCCCTGCGGAGTTAAATAACTTTCCCAAGATGACAGAGCTAGTAAGTGGCAGACTCAGTTAGTCTGCACTCTGCCGTCACACAAGGGGAAGACAGCACGCCAGACCCATCGACAAGCCAGAAGCTGGAAGAGATGAGGAAGGATCTTCCTCCAGGGCTTACAGAGGGAGCACAGCCCTGCCACTGCCATTAATTTGGACTTCAGCTGCCAGAACCATGAGGAAACAAATTTCTGTTCTTTAAATAATTTTATTTAAATTACTTAATATTTTCAATCTTTGTATTCTTCTTTAAATAATACCACTTTGCAGAATTTTGTTACGCAGTCCTAGGAAACTAGGATACCTTTTGGGATTTTTACCTCATTCCCACTCTGCTGCCCAAATCCCCTGGTACTCGGAGAGCCAGGCGAAACAGAAGAATTTAGTGGGTGTAAATTGTCCAATAAACAGTAGCTATTATACTTAACGAGCCCTGGTGATGTAGTGGTTAAGCATTTGGCTGCTAACCAAAATGTTGGCAGTTAGAATTCACCAGTTGCTCCTTGGAAGCCCTATGGGGAAGTTTTACTCTGTCCTATAGGGTCGCTAAGAGTCGGAATCAACGCGACGGCAACGGGTTTGGTTTTCTTATAATTACAGAGTCCCTGTGTGATGTCAACGGTTAAGCACCCAACTACCAGCTGAAAGGTTGGCAGTTCGAACCCACCGAGAGGCGCCTCAGAGGGCAGGCCTGGCCATCTGCTTCCAAAAGGTCACAGACTTGAAAACCCTACGGGGCACAGTTCTACTCAGCACACACGGGGCCACCATGAGTCAGAACTGACTCCGTGGCAACTAACAACAAGAACATTCGAATTATAATAATAATAATTTTTATTGTTGCTGTAAATCACGGCACACCAGGGGGCCAACAGCGAGCTTGACATGGAGACTGATTTTTATCAGTTTTGCCCCTCTCCTCCACGTGGTGCTGGATTCAGACTTCCCTTGGACGACTAGAGCTTTCCTTGGGAAAAACATTTTATTGCCAAGCATGTTTGGAAAACTGAGGCTTTCATTGTTTTTCCCTCTGTACTTCACAGCAGAAAGTGAAAAAAATAAAAATAAAAAAAGAGGAGGAATGATGACTTGAGGCTGGACTCACAGCAGGGCTGGTTTGAAAGGAGAGCATTGTGACCAGCTGGCTCCGGGCAGCCCAGAGAAGACTGGATCTCGCCCCCTGAGGGCCAAGATGGTGGCAGGTGATAAGCGGGAGAAGAATATTGTGAAATTTTCCTAAGTGTGTTCCTGGTTATACGGGAAATTCAAAGGTGTAACTTTGAAAAGAAGGTGCTGTGGTTGGTTTAATTTCGGTCCAACCAAACCAAACCATACACACTACCGTTGAGTCGATTCCGACTCCTAGCGACCCTACAGGCTGGAGTAGAACTGCCCTACAAGGTTTCTAAGGCTGTAATCTTTACGGGAGCAGACTGCCACATCTTCCTCCCTCAGAGCCACTGGTGGTTTCAAACTATCCACCTTTCGGTTATCAGTCCAGTGCTTTAACCATTGCGCCACCAGGGCTCCTTAAATTTAGGTCACTGGTTCTCAGAATGGAGCCCTAGTGGCCCAGTGGGTAAGCGTTCTGCTGCTAACAAAAAGGTGGGCAGTTCAAATCCACCAGCTGTTCCTTGGAAACCCTACAGGGCAGTTCTACTCTGTCCTGTAGGGTCGCTAGGAGTCGGAATTGACAGCAATGGGTTTGGTTCTCAAAATGTGGTCCCCGACCAGGGGCATCAGCCTCACACGGGAAGTTGCTGGAAATGTAAACTTCAAGCCCCTCCTAGACAGGCTGGTTCAACAAGCCTCCAGGTGATGCTAACGCGCAGGCTAGTTTGAGAGCCACTGGTTTAGGGGAACTGGGTTTACATAAAGTCACACAGGCTTCTTCACTGCACAGTTTACCACAACTTCTCATATGCTAACGTTTCCCGGGACTCCTCAGGCAGGAAATGAAATGTGCACCGTTCCCAGGCTGTACGCCAAGGAGGCCTGTTTTCCTGGAGCGTCTCCCGGGAGGCTGCCCTGTGGACCTCACTGCAGTCAGACACAGACAAGCAAATCTCCAGGCTGCTGTGAGCGGGAGACTGCACGGTCCTGGCTCCGAGGTCTTCATAAGACGCTCAGCACCCCTGGAGTTTAATTCTGAGCTTGGACTCTGAACTTTCGTGGAACATCGGGATTAAAAAAATAATGACACACAATTTTCAGCCAGCTCCCTGCAGCAGGGGCAGTGCCTCAGAAGGCCTGGGAAGCAGCCAGACCAGCTTGGAGGGGTAGTGACAGTTTTCCCCACAAGGTGGCACACGCGGCTGGAGCTATTTTTAGTCTGGATGAAAGCTGCAATATTGACTCTGTGGCTGAGCAAAGAGAATTGCAACTTATGATTTACAGTTTACGTAGATGGTTTGTTACATCATCATGCTTCACATCCAGCCACATTTTGAACAGTTAGTTTTTTTGTTCCTCTGGGTGGCCGAAACTTAAGGACCTGGACGGAAGGTATAACAGAAGAGTGTTACAATTTCTGGGCAGGATCCACGGCACGTGTTCTAACGTGTGTATGCTCTCTCTCAGCTGTCTTTACTCCCTTCACAAAAGGAAAATATCTAATAATTTATGAGCATCTATAACCAAACCCAAAACCAAACCCATTGCCATCGAGTCGATCCTGACTCATAGCAATCCTATAGGACAGAGAAGAACTGCCCCACAGGGTTTCCAAGGAGCGGCTGGGGGATTCCAACTGCTGACCTTTTGGTTAGCAGCCGTAGCATGCCACAGCTCCTAACCACCACGCCACCAGGGCCCCATGACAGAGACAAGCCAGCACAAACTAGGAAGGGGTGGGGAGGAAGCAGGAGACAGCAGCCACATGAAGATGGCCAAGGAATCCAGGAATGCTGGGGCTACAGAAGCTGAGAGAAGGACCTCCCCCGAGAGCTAAGAGCCTTTCCCTATAGCCAGTGCTCTGAATTTGAACTTGGAGCCTCCTAAACTGTGAGAAAATAAAGTTCTGTTCTTTAAAGGCACCTGCTCACTCGTGGTATTTCTGTTACCGCAGCACTGGGTCACTAAGACCCTCCCAGTCCCCACATCTCTGAGGAGACCCCGTTGCAGGGCTGGGAAGACAGGCCATCCCGCAGTCTGTTCCCTATTTGTCCACAAATCGGGCTCCTGCCCGACATTCTCAGAACTTCTGTGGAAAGTCTGCAAGGGGCATTGGTTTTTGCCCTGGCTGCGTATCAGAATCACCTGCAGAGTTTTAAATTCCAACCATTCCAAGTCCCATCCCTCAGAGATTCCAATCAATTCCCTGGGGGAAGCCTGGGCACCTGCATTTTAAGGTTCCCCAGGTGACTCTAAGGTACAGCCAGGCTGAGAAACAGCATATGCACCAGTGCTTCTCACGTCCTGTGCCTGTGAATCACCCGGGCACCTCCTTACTGCACATCCTGGTGACGGCAGCTCTGGGGCCCCAGATCCTGCCTTTCCAACCAACCCCACACAAAGGCCATGGTCTGGGTGGACCACACTTCGAGGAGCAGGATTCTAGAGCATGACAACCTGATTACCGTAGAGCTTGTATTTCTATAGCTCTCTAGAAAGTTCAGCTGATAAGCTGTTCCTTTATTTACAGCCCCATTTGCGTTTCAATTTTTCTTAAAACAAAGACACCACTTTCCTTAAGTTCACATAAGAAAATCCCACGTTGGCTAGTTGCGAGGTGTCTGAGCCACACACTCAACGTCTCTAGCCGCTTTTGGCTTCCTGGTTAGGCAGTTCTTCGACCTACCTGACGGTTCACGCGTTCCCATCCTGAGGAAAACTCACCAGAAGCCAGGCACCTTTCCAGGCCTGTTCTCCCCATGTCACTCACACACACACGCTTCAGCCTTCAATTTACTTCCTAGGTTTTTTCCTAACACTTTGTAAAATGGTTTGAAGTGATGAAAAAGACGTTCATTCCTTTTATACCGTCATACAGTTACTAAAACCCAATCCCACCCAAACCGTGAGCTTACCGGCGACTTCTTAATGTCGGAGACAGCATAATTCCCTTGGGATATCCACCTGGCGGATTCCGTTAAAGACAGGCCGGTTCCATAAAGGTTAATGCTAAAACGACCCTGGAATAAATGGCCAGCGAAAAACATTTTTAGTTCACGTGACATCAAGCAAAGAAAAGGCGAAGCCACAAAAGATACCTCGGAAAGGAGAAAGATGTCAATTCTAACAATAGCTACTGATTATTGAGTCCCCGCCCCCCAGTCAGGCACTTTACATGTATCATCTCATTCATCCTTGCAAGAGCTCTGCGAGGGGGTCCCTCTTTACAGATGGGGAAACCGAGGCTTAGCACAGGCGATTAACTTCCTGGAGACACAGACTCCACCTCATAACTGTCTGACTTCAGAGGCCCAGTTCTCAACCACCGTGATTCTGCCTCCCTAAAGCAGCAATCCTGATGCTGCTCACAATTATCAGATTCCTTTAGGAACAAAATGTCACAGTGTAATTTTTCTAATAAGATCTTGCTGCCAAAGCTTCCCGGCCTCCAGCTCCCTGCGGGGATCGTCAGCACATGGGGTACTAAGCACAGCAGGGCGGGACTTCAAAGAAGGGATGCCTTCTCCAGAACGGCCAGCAGAGGGCACACTTGGCCTGCTTCTTCCAGGTCAACGGCAATGAGGTCTCCCAAATGGCCCAAGGATTCCTGTCCAAACCCGGCCCCGGGTGTTTGATGGTCATTTCTGAGGAGAGGGACCAGCAGAGAGATCCTCTCTCTCTTTCTCCATCTATTGCCGTTTCTCTCACTCTGAAGCCGTTTCTTGAAGCTCCCCAACCCCACAGCCTGTTTATAGTGGGGACACCTCTGACCCCTGCTCGCAGTGAGCACCCTGGAAGGTACAGAAGTTCTGCGTGAACACGCCCTGTGACTGTGTCCTCTCTGGACCTCACAATCTCTGTCAGAACAGTCTTTATAAAGCAAAGAGGAGAGCGGTGAGGCAGATGTGTGTGAACCTCTCAGAACCTCAGTTTGCCCGTCTGCAAAATGGAAGCTAATAAAAGCACCTCCCTCAGGGTACTGTAGTGAGGACTACATGAAATTAGCCGCACGAGTTACCTAGCTGAGGCTGGTACTTAGCACACACTCAGAAATACTGGTATCATTCCTGTATTTTCTAGCTGTAAAAGTCAGTTCTAGCTCTCCAGTGTAACAGTGACCTCCTCGATGGCAGGGATTTGGTAATGCTTTGCTTTCTTGTATCAACTAGAGTTGGTAACACATGACGAGGCACTTGGTGGACTCCTAGTAAGTATTCCATCCTAGCTCCTCTATTAAGACTTCCCTGATAAACTGGGCATAACTTGGGGCCTTCCCATGCCAGCTCCATAAGTATTGACTGACTGTGTTTATAAACCCTTGGGAGCCTTAGCTTCCACATCTGTAAGGTGGGGACAAACAGAACTCCTGCTCATAGAAGTCACAGGGGGACTTAACTGGTTTAAGTCAGTGGTTCTCAACACAGGATGATCTTGCCCCCAGGTGACACGTGGCAATGTCTGGAACATTCTGGTTGTTACAACTTGGGGGAGGGTGCTACTGGGTGGGTAGAGGCTGGGGATGCTGCCAAACACCCTACAATGCATAGGACAGCCCCCAACAGAGACTCGCGCAGCCCCAAATGTCAGTGGAGACAACATTGAGAAACATCTGGTGTACAGTATGGATTGATGCTAGAATTTCAACTCCCCTACTTATTTTTGGAAACCCTGGCGGCGCAGTGGATAAGAGCTACGGCTGCTAACCAAAAGGTCAGCAGTTCGAATCCACCAGGGGCTCCCCGGATCCCTGTGAGTAGAAATCGACCTGATGGCAACGGGTTTTAGTTTTTACTTACTTTTAGTATGACCTTGGGCAAGGTGCCAGACCTTTCTGAGCCCACCTGCAAAATGGATTAGTAGCACCTAACCTGTGAATAGGAGGGCATTAGATAGACCCCACAATGCAGCTAACTCATTACCTGTCAAAATATGTAATACTTTTTATTATATTTGAAAATTATTCTTGTGACAGTACTATACAGATATAAGCGGTTTTGTCACAGTTAATGGCCTAAATACCCAGGTGTCTGTGACTGTGGCCGCACCGAGGCCCTGAGGCTCTAAACCTCCTTGCTCAGCCTCATCAGACACTGGGTTCTGTGTGTTGCCTTACTCCACCTGGCCTTTCTCTTACCTTTCTATCGTTCCTGCCTTGAGCCAGTCCACATCTGCCTGAACCTCGCTGCGACCAAGAAGCCTTCTCCTCTCGCCTCACCATCCTGCTTCCCCCTCGACCGCCTGTCCCCCTGCATGTCAGAAGTCAGGCTGGATGCGCTGACCTGGCTTCTCTCCTGAGATGCCCCCGTGGCTCTGGGTGTCCTGGTCTGAGCCAGCTCAATAACCACTTCCAGCAGGCCTGCCCACCCAGGGTGGGGTACACCTGAAGAGAACAGGGTCTTCCTCCTCATCCTCTTTCTGCCTTTTTGTTCAGGGATCTGTGTTTTCAGCAAGCACCCAACTGATTATAAGCACTCTAGAAGTGAGTGCCGCTGGAGGAGTAAAGCCTGGTGCCCTTTCTTGCTCTGGTCTGGGACATCTTTGCCCCCACTGGCCTCTCTCTGAGGTCTAAAGGGCACAAGAGTTTTATTTTCCCAAGTAGGTACTGCCTCCCGTTGTTAATTCCAAAGAGTAAAAGTAACCAAGACTACTGCATGCAGTAGGTGCTCCATAAAGGTTTGCAGAAGGTGTGCCTTAGACCAAAGAGGGATCCTGCTCTCGGGACAGAGTAAATGTTGCATAAATCTTGCCTGGAAACAGGACACACAGACATGCTTGCCATCATGGATTTGGTTTCGGTCACTCTGCAACCAAGTCCAGCCTCGGCTGAGCACCAGCTGTGTGGATTTGGGCAAGTTAGCCAACCTCTCTACATCTCAGTTTCTTCGTCTGTCCGAGGGGCATTCTCGTGGGTGGGACTGTAAAATGGTACAGCCATTTTCCATACTGTGGAAAATAGTTTGGCAGCTCCTCAAAAAGTTAAGCATGGAATTACCACACGAGTCAGCATTTCGCTCTGAGGCACACACGCAAAAGAACTGAAAACTGGGACGCAAAAGACAATTGTACACCCATGTGCACTGTAGCGCGATTTCCACCAGCCCAAGGCGGCAACAACCCAAACGCCCATTAACAGACGATGGACAGACAAAATGGGCTATGTGCACACAACGGAATATTACTCGGCCGTAAAGAGACACAAGTCCAATCCACGCTACAACACGGATGAACCTCGAAAACTTCATGCTCAGTGAAATACGTCCGATACGAAAGGACAAACACCGTATGATCCCACTTATATGAAGGATCTAGAACAGACAAATGCATAGAGACCTAAGTGTTTAGTGGTTACCAGGGGTAGGTGGGAGGAGGAAGTGGGAAGTTAGTGACCAGGGGACACTGAACTTCTGTGAAACGTGGTGCAGAAAATTGAAAACAAGCAGTGGTGATGTTTACACAACCTGGGACTGTAGTTAATGTCACTGAACTGTCCACACAGAAATGGCTGAAATAGCAAACGTTTTGTTATATATATTTCACCACAATGAAAAAAAAAAAAGAGGGACAATCAATCTACCTCCTAGGATACTGTGGGGATTAAATGTAATACTGATATAGAAATGCTGAGCATGGTGCCTAAAGCACCAAGTAGATGCTCAATAAATGCTAGCTATTAATAGCAACATCAATAATAATAATGCTGCATTTACTGTAATCGGGATAAAAAAAAATCCTGGCTATCTCTGGAGGTGAGGGTTCTCAGGGAACCCACCCTTACCCATAAACAAATTCTAAAAACAACAGAAAAGGATGAGGAGGAAGAAGAGATTCTCACAAAAGGCGCCCTTTGTGCTGATTTTTGTGTAACCATTAGGACGAGCCATTCCCTTCCAAAGCGGCCTGCACAATCGTACTCTCTACAAACCTTTTCCTGGAAAACTGGCTTGAAAAACTCGTGTCTCTCATCAATACGGTTGGTGCTCCATAAATGTCTACGGAATTGAATTCTAAAAGTACCCGATATGGTTTGAAGAATGGGCTCTCACTAGCTTCGGGTTTTCTCATTTAGCAATCGCTTCGGTGTCAGGATTTAGCAAATCAATCAGTTCGTTTGTCTCTGAATTATTAAAATAAATGAAAGCAAATACCTTTCATTTACTTAAGCTTCCCAAAGGATGCTCACATAGAAACAAGAAAATCCTGAGACGTTTGAAAAAGGCAGGCAGGGCCAATCTATTAGCCGTTAAAATGCAACCAATACCCAGGAGGTGTCTGAAGTCATCAAGTGCTCTAAAGAAACTGCACTTCAAAGTTTTCAACCCCTGGGTGATGGGGGAAAGGCCCTTTTCCCATTCTGTCCTTTGCTTATTTTCCTTCTCCCCGAGAGCTTCCTTTTTACTTCCCTAAGAAGTTTAGCGACAATCTTCTAAAGCTGGGGGCTAAGAAAACACTTCTTGAAAGAAAACTCAGATGTGTTTGTCCTGGGACGTCTCTGGCTGGGGGTAAACAGGAGACAGTGCCTGGGATCCCCAGTGCATCATCTATGGTGTGAATACTCGCCACATGACCAATTGCAAGCCATTTCTGAATCGCAGCACTTCTGAAGGCTTACGGGCAAAGTGGGAAATTTCATGGACGCAGAGTTTAACAGCAGCTTTGTGCAGACTCATGAGAGCCTCAGACAAAACTGGGGCCAGGTTCTCATGCCCAGAATCATCTAATTTCTTAGTTTTTCCTGCCTTCTAATTGCAGAAACCTCTCGCAAAGATGGGTGTCTGCTTTTCACAATAAGCCCCGGCTGCGCTGAGCTTCTGTTGATGGCGGTGGACTAAATGGTAAAAGGAGAGCGGTGATGGTTGCGCGGCATGACAAACGTAATCAACGCCACCGAACTATCCCCGTAAAAACTGTTCCCTTGGTAAGTGTTTTGTTATATGTATTTTTACCACAATAATAATAATAATAAAAGAATAGAGAAAAAATTAGCTCGGGCTGACTATTACCGCATGTTTTAAAAGGCAAGTCAAAACCCGCCCCACGTCTGAGGAGGCAAGGAAATGCGGAGCTGCAGAACGGGCAGACAGGTGGCCGCTGGCTGCTCTGCTGCAGAGCTGTCCAGTAGGAGCTGATACATTTGCTGTTCTCTCCCTGAATGCTGGGCAAGTTTCTGAAGACCTGAAGGAGGGGTAACAGCTTGAGTCCATGGCGTCTGCACAGACCCTCCCGGACGTCCCCATGCCTGGTCCAAGACGACTTCCAGGACGTATTACATCATGGTTATCCGTTTACTCGGCTGTGTCCTCAGTCAGCTATACCGCCCTCCAGGAATGGATGTTTGCGAGGCTCCAGTAAGGAGGCACGACGTGGGCATTCAGGAAGTGTCAGCTGATCTGCTAAGACGATTCTAGACGCATTTCCGGCTACGATTAAGAAGTCAAGTGAAGCCCAAGGAGGTCTTACAAAATTTGGAATCTCCGAGGTATATTTCTTAAAAAAAAGAAAAAACTCTCATGTTTGTTTGGAAAAATTTAGAAAACACAGGAAATGGAAAAACAAAATACATATAAAAATTAAACTTCCCAATGCATCTTGTCGATAATCGGTGTTTTTCCTTCCAGGTCCTTCTCCACTTGTACATTAAAACAAACGAAAAAGCAAACGTGGGACCACGCTGCACGCACTTTCTGCGTCTTCTCTACTTAGTCCCGTGAGCAGTCGCTATACCAGGCAATACTCGGACTGTTCAGTGGCTGGCAGTGGTGTGCTGGGGTGGACTTGAACTGGCTTTGGAGAGCCAATTGTGCGCCTCTCTCTCCAGCTCTTCCTTTACTGACGTTATGTTAACAGCTTGGATTGGTCATGTGGCGAGTATTCACACCACAGAAATCGGCAGATGCTACAAAGCAGGACGCTTTTGTTTTTTCTCAGAGCCCGTCGGTAGACTTCTACTAGCACTCCGGCGATGGCTAAGGGCGCCCCGGGGGGAGGGGGCGGTGCCTCCCTAAGGCGGCAGCCCCGGGATGCCCCTGGAGGTACCTGGCCAGCTCCTACCTGTGGGCACTTGGCAGCACTGTAGCAGTCCCCGGCTGTGGCGAAAGGGACAGGGTGGCCTTCACTGGTCCTGGCAAACTGCAGGTCGGTGGCTACGGGGTGGAGACAGGGCAGAAAGGAGAAGAAAGGTGAGAAGGGGGAGAAGAGTGGGGTGGCGGGGACAAGCGGGTATTAACCAGGGGGCGGAAAGGGTATCAACCAGGGGGCGGAAAGGGTATCGACCGGGGGACGGAAAGGGTATCGACCGGGGGGCAGAAAGGGTATCAGCCAGGGGGCAGAAGGGGTATCGACCGGCGGGCGGAAAGGGTATTAACCCGGGGAGCGGAAGGGGTATCGACCGGGGGGCGGAAGGGGTATCAGCCGGGCGGCAGAAGGGGTATCGACCGAGGGGCGGAAAGGGTATTGACCAGGGGGCGGAAAGGGTATTAACCGGGGGGCAGAAAGGGAGAGGAAGAAGAGTAAGAATAAAAGGGGCGGGAGAGAAAGAAGCAATCCTAAACATGAGCGATGAACAAATGGACCCAGATGCTCACTTGCCTTTCCCTCATTGTGTGTGGTTCTCAGAGTTTTGCTCCCTGCGTTTATCAGCACTGACTGTCTCCTCAGAGTATGGAAGCTAAAAGGGGGTTTAAAAGACTTTGGAACGGATTCCTACATAAATAAGTAAGTGGATCCCCTCGCTTAAAGGTAGGGTGACTGAAGGGACCAGGAACCTCCTGTGACCAACACAGAGGCTGAAGGACGGGGAAAGAAGCCAGAGAAGCATTTCCAGCTACTTAGGACTTTTCTTGAGGTCTCATCTGTCCTTCCGCGGCGTAAACACTATTATTGCCAAAATGTGGAGCAATCAGAACTCACATCTTGAAATTATTAACGGCAGTTTCTCAAGTTTGGGGCTAGCCTGCAGTTTGTTAAAAAATGCAGTAAAAGTAACACTGCCCAGGGCTCGTGTTTTTAACCCTATTGCAGCTCCTGAGACCAGGATCAGGAGAAGCCAAATTGAGAATCCTGAAAAAGTTGTCTGCTGGTAGGACTTGGGTCTGGAGTCTGGTTTTTACCTTTCTGCCTTGTCTTTCATTTGGCAGAAGGGGTGCTGCTTTGCAATGTTAAAAGCAAGGTAGGAAAGATGTGCTTATGTGGGAGCACAGTTACCTTGGCCAAATCCTAGTCATTCTTTAAAAACCATCTCAAATATCACCTCCTCTAGGAAGCCTTCCGAGGATCCTCCTTGCATAATTAGTTTTCTTTTTGATTGCTTCTATAAGGCTTTGTCTTTCACCTCATCAGGGTTGTGACAATTGCTTGTCCGACTGGCAGGTCGGACTGGGAGCCCCTTGCGGGTAGGGGTCATGGGAAGCAGTCTAGGGTGATACTGTGTAGTTACTGTTTATCTCCACTTCCCCTAGTACTCGGGCAGTCAGTACGTTTGTTAAATCAAATGGTAAGTCATGAAATGATAGCTAACTCACAAGGAGTGCCAACTGCACTCCCAGCCTTTTGAAAAGCAGTTTTTACCCCCGCTCTACCGTAATGGTGACAGTGTTTGCTGAGGGCTTCCACGTGGTGAGACGCTGTTCTGTGTGCGTCCCCGTTAGCAGCTCATTTGATCATCCCAGCTCCTCAAAAGGAGTCTGGTGGTGCAGTCTCCTCCAAAGGAGTCTGGTGGTGCAGTTAGGTGCTTGGCTACTAACTGAAAGGTTAGCAGTTCGAATCCACCCAGAGGCACCCTGGGAGAAAAGCCTGGCGATCCGCTTCCTTGAAAACCCTAAGGAGCACAGCTCCACTCTGACACACGTGGGGTTGCCATGAGTCAGGATCGACTCAACGGTCTGGTCTAATAACCTCAGAAATTATCTGCTGTTAGTATTGGAGCCCAGGGTTTGGTTTTTACCTTTCTGCCTTGTCTTTTCAGAATGGTAGAGGATGGCCTTAATCTTTTGCAAATAACCACACTTTCTAGGGAGGGAAATTGGAATGTCCGGATTCTGCAAGAAATGGGTCCTTGCCCACTTGAGAAAGCAGAAACCCTGGGTTTGCTGGGGGTGTTTCTCTAAGTGGAGAAACCGCAGACCCTCTTCCTTGAGACCTTATCAGTCTAGCTGAAGGCAATTAGAACATCTTGGTACAAATCAAGTTTAATCTACCACGAGGGGAAAGTCACGTAATATTACGGGTACGATGTTAATGAGGAAAAATTAATTATTCATTATCCTGCTTTTCCTCTTGTCAAGGGTTCATGTTTGGATATTTTTGCTGTCTTTCCCCACTCCTATGATTGATGCCCCGTGCCAGAAACGTGGGGGTGGCCAGAGTATGAAATCCGTGCATGTGCAGGCTAGTCGGGAACAGGCAATTGTGGGTCCGTTTTCCTCTGGAGATGGACAACTGCATCAAATTAGCTTTCTGCCTGTGTGTATGCTGTGCTGGTGGAGCCAGCTGAGGTGAATGCTGCCCAGTGAATCTCAGCTGTGGGCTTTTCTATCTGCTGTTTCTTCTGTCCTAAAACCTCCTGCTCCTCTTCCTTTCCCACGCTGATACCTGGTGACTAATCCCAAATCTTACTTCACCTGGGCTCTCCACTGAGGTGTCTTGTTTTCTGGGATGCTGCCCTGGCTCTCCAGACCTTTGAAGGTCTTCCCTTCTCTCCACTCATTCGTTCCCCACAGAGGGTGGAGCGCCCACCCTGGGCTGGACCCTTCCCAGGTGTGGGGACACAGCGCCCCCCCCCCCGGAGCCTGTGATCAGTGCACTGCCAGCTCCGCGGCTGCTCCTTCTACGCATCCTCGGCACCGCCCCCCAGTCAGTGTGTCGTATGTGTTTCTGACCAAACGGAGGGCAGGCTGAGTGTGCTCCCACGTGACACCCCACTCAACTTACTGATTATCTGCATGGTGGTCAGGTCTATTCTGATCTTCCGGAAGGTGGAAAACCCGGCTGCCGTGTAATCCTTCCGACACTGACAGTCATCTCGCCGGCTCCCGTTGTAGGGACACTCCGTTGGGTTGTGCAGTCTAAATACAGAGAGAAGGTGCTGGTCAGGACGGGAAGGTGCTTCCAGGGATCGTCAGGCATCTGGGCTCTTCTGAACCTGGGATCTCATACCTGTGCCCATACACCTCAGAGAAATTCTCGGAGTCGCCATGGACCAGCGTCACATACTCTTTGGGGCGGTCAGACAGCATCCCCGCACAGAAGATCTGAAAGAGACCAGATGGCCTGTGAAGAGTGGAGAAGAAACGGGACAGGGAGGGCAGCCACCACTCACACCAGAAGCCCTGGAATGGCGCCGACTGCTCACCTTCAGGAGCTTCCCTCTGACGAGCAGGAGGTATTCACCGTCCTCACCAGCACCTTTAAGGCTTTTCACCTCCTTGCAGTTTTGGGGTAACTCACCTAGAAAACACAAGACAAAACAGGGTGTGACACCCAGGACGTGCACCATCTGCCTACGACGTGGTGACATTGTTCACACTCAAGTTTCTCAGCAAAGGAGATAATTTCCTTAAAATGTCTGTATTTCTAAAAAGAGCAGGCGGACAAGTAAACAAAACAAACTGGTCTCCAGGTTCAAGAAAGAGGCTCCGGCTGGCCAACTTACAGCTGTAGACATTGTGGCAGGCCTTCCTGTCTTCTGGCTTCAGATCGACGGGGCACAGGTGGCTGGGCTGGTCCTCGTTGGTTAAGCACTGCACAGACCTGTGCATCACTCCAACGCCACAGGTCACCGAACACTGCAAGGAAGCCAGAGGCGCTGCCGTGGTCAACCGGCCTGAGACTCTGCCGTGGTCACCCGGCCTGAGCTCTGCCGTGGTCACCCGGCCTGAGGCGCTGCCGTGGTCACCCGGCCTGAGACTCTGCCGTGGTCACCCGGCCTGAG